TATTGCTTATAATTGACAGGAAGCTACTGGAACAAGATTACCATGGCACCCTAGTGTTTTTGTGACTGGCATGTCCTCAAGTAGTATGTACAAAACTATTAAATGCGTAGCTGCACTTAGCTACAAAGAAAAGGAACAAAACAGTGTATTATATCTGGAAGCAAGTGTTTCTAAAATGGAGCAGCCATTAGTCCAAAACTGAACCAAAATGTCCCTTTTCAATTCTGCTTAGGTAAAGCAACAATTTTACATTCTTACATCAAGGACTATCTAAGTTGTTAAACTTGGTATTTAATAAAACTCATGCCCGCAACAAGAGTGTTTACCACCATTTCATTGTGTGGCTCCCTAACACAGATAGCAAGTGGCATTGACTAAAGATTCATGGTCTGCAGGCAATTTAGGTTTTCCACTCAGCTGATGCGACTAACATGCTCATCTAATAAAATGAGCACAGCAGTATTTTCTAGGCCATTATTCCATATCAAGGTAAAACAAGGAGCTACAATGCCAACCCAGCATGACTGTGCAAAAGTGTGGGAAAACGGCCAAAAACGAAAGAAGTTGGAAATCAGAGACAAACTAGTAAAAAAATTAAAACAAGCTATTTTAATTTTTTCTAATTATATTGCCAGGTCTTGCCAGAAAATTAAAGAACCTGACTGCTTTATAGCAGAGAAAAATAGAGCTCTATAGAGTAAAAGTATGAAACTTGGGAATGAGCAAGGTTTAACAGCAACAGGATTACATGAAGACTTTACCTTTCAATTTGACTGTTACAAAAGATTTTCCAACAAAAACAGTTACATCTAAATGTTTATTGTGCACTGCACCCCTTCAGACAGAACTCTGATGTTTCTCATGTTAGCAACCAATTTTGTTTCTAATGTTAATGGCTTCAAGTTGGCATTCATACAGGCAAACAAAGGTAAACATTTTATAGCTAATAGTGCCGAAAGATAGTAAACATCCTCAGATAGCATATAAAGAACATAAGTGGGAATCTTGCTTCCAATAAAAAGCTTAATTATTTACATTTGTCCTGAAGTTAAAAATTTCTATTAAATAGCATGCTTACTGCATTGCCAATGCTGCCTGTCTGCCCGAGCTCAACATAACAATTGAGAATTAAACATTTCATTCACTCAACAGAACTAATCATTGAAAACAGTATTTCTCTATGCAAAGTTTCCAACTGGAAGCATGCATCTCTGGCTAAGGTAACCCCCCCCCGCCCCCGCCCACAAGTTTAAAGTTAGCAACTAGAAGTCCCCCAATTTAACTTAAAGTATTTAAGATCCAGTAAGGTCAGTTTTGATGTGTGATCTTCAAGCTTTCAGCTAATTTACATTTTAGTAGTTCTCCAACTTGACAGGTTTGCAGAAATTCAGTTACAAATACAGTTTAAGTCAACAATCCTACCATTTATAGGCTGACGGTTATTTTTGTATGCATAATCCTGAAGATTTCATTACCAATCATTACAAATTTTTAACACCTTGGTGACAGGTAGGTCAGGAGCTCCTAAGCTGGTGCGAACACATTTTGCATCAAGAAATCAGTCCTGGAGCCAAGAGTTAAGATTTGATTTTAACATTAAGGGGAAAAAAATTAAGCTATTCTGATATGCATGAACTTTGAATAATGAAACACCATAGCTGGACAGAGCACGTTAGGTAATCAATTAAATTAACTTACACTTCAGATTTTTATGTTTAAAAACAATCCTGTCATTAAATCCTCCTTGTGAGGTGGGTCAAGGCCCAAATGTTCATGGCACTGCATTTAGCAATACATGTAAGGAAATCCCACCACCTGGCATCAAAGAATTAAACTGATTTAGTCTCTTTAGCATATCCATTTCAGCAATGACAAACAGTTAACTCAAGCTGAATAGATTTTTTCAAAATCTAAATGTTTATCAGAACCATTCTTAGAGGCATTACCCTCCTTGTTCTTTCATGCAGAGAGCATTAGACTAACCTTATTACAGTGACGCCCGATACCCATTAGGAAGTTATCTGGTTTAATGTCTCTGTGTATAAAATTCTTTGTATGCACATATTCAATTCTACTGATCATCTGTAAATACAAGAAAAAATAATCAGAATTTAACATTAGAAAGAGAAAGATCAAAGATATCAGAAAAAAAGTCCAGTGTTTCAGTTCAAGTTCATTTTCCTTAATAATGAATGAGTTATAAATTGCATATTTAACCAAGTACATTTTAACAAGTACTCACAAAATAGATGTGTCAAGTGAACCAACAAACAGTTTGATGAAGATAATCACTGGTCTGTCATCACTTAACCAATACTATAAGTCTTCAGTGTAAAAGTGTCCAATTGTTTCACTATAAATAGCACAAGTGCTATTCACAATTGATTTATCCACAAATTTAAAAAAATCCAAGCAATCTAGCAGAAGTTACTTTATTTACTACAGGAGTGTTTTAGAAATCTTTTCCTGATATTGTTTAACTAGGAACCAACTCATTAACAGTTTGTTACTCCACATGTGCCTTTCAGCTATTCTGGTTATCTTAATTTGCTGGACAATACTACTACAGTGTTAGGCGAGGTCTACATTACTGGGGACAATTGTGTTATAGCTACAACGCCATCACTATGCTGATATAACCCCATATAGCGATGGAAGGTGTTTTTCCTGTTGCTGTAGGACCACCTCCCAAGCAATAGGAGCTAAGTCTTCCATCAACCTGGCTGCACCTACCATAGGGGGTTAGGTTGGCATAGCTATGGTGCTCAGGCGTGTGGATTTTTTCACAACCTCGAGTGCGACAGCTATGTTGATCTAAATTTTAAGTGTAGACCAGGCCTTAGTGAACTACAGGTGTCAATACTGTAGCATCTCTCTAAGCTAGAAACAATCCTAGTGCAATGTGTCCCAGTGGCCATCTTTAAATTTACTGTACTAAAGTTCTACATCCTATCCAGCGGTGCGTTTAAAGGCATTCCTATTGTCCCATAGATACTTAAGTTACTCTCGAAGAATCAAAACTTTTCCTTTCACAACAACCTCAACTCTAGAGATTTGAATTAAGAGAAAGGTGTTTGGTATCCCCATGCTTGTCCCTACAGGAAAGCAGACATCCCAAAACCATTCAATTTGAGAAGACAAAGTCAGGATAGCAAGAATGTAGCAGATACACATTGATGTGCAGTGGCAGAGCTTGACAAAAAAGTCTATATACAGCCTGCCAACAACATGCTTGGCTGAAGCCTATTATGGTGTTTCATTTAAACAAATTAACCCAAAATTTTGAAGACTGCTTTTTACCAATACTTGACATCTGTGATGTAAGTAAAATAAAATTAAGAGCATGATTTTATAAAGCATTAACACTAGCACGGGTAGAATACTAATATTTGTGTTGCATTCTTAGTTCTCTACAATGCTAATCTTATGCTCTACTATACCACGAAACTGCCACTATCACTGTTCCTATTTTTTGCTTCTATGTGGGTCAAATAGTCACTTGAGTATTTGGAGTACTGAGTTGCACACATTCTGACATACTTAAAAGGAGAACTATTTGCTTCATTTTCCTTACAATGCGAATTTAAGTTTCACATACCTGGTCTGCTAACATAAGTACTGTTTTCATTGTGAACCTGCGGGAACAGAAGTTGAAGAGGTCTTCAAGGCTGGGTCCCAGAAGATCCATAACTAGAACATTATAATCTTTCTCTTGACCATACCACCTGTAATAAAGCAGAGATGTCTAAGTTATCATTCTGTTTAAGATAAACTAACAATCTGTAGTATTAGAGGTAGCCAGTTAATATTTTCTAGAAGATGCCAAGTAATAAGTTTTCCCACTTCAAAATAACAATTGAGATTGTTGATGCACAAATCCAATTAACTAGACTGTTTTACAGTGTTCAGTATTTATAAGCAAGCCCTGGCTACTGCTAGACATGGAGTATTTTTGTGACAGTAATTTACTTTGATGTAGATTAGTGGCAATGATGCATTTCTTTTATAATATTCATTTTGTTTAGGTCTTAATTGGATCAGCTCCATTTTGTTCTCCCTGCCATTGATTTCCAGAAAGCAGTACATAATGCTGGCCTTTAACTATGTTAACTCCCATTCTCTTATTAACCACCAAAAGCACTGACTAAAAACAACCGACTGGCAGCTGGCCTTTACAAGCTGGATACAGTTTAATTTTTTATTATTAAATAGAATACCTTTTTGTAAAGCAAGCAGCAACAAAAAGCTCTGTAGCAACTTACTGAGTCACCCTACTTTCCGGAAAATCACTCCACTTTCATAGGACATTGAGCAAAAAGGTTTTGTTTGTATTTTAATAAGGTGTGCCTTCAATTTTCACTTCAAACGAAGGAGTGTCAGTTTCCACCTGCAACTCTCACATCCCTCTCAGTCTTCAACTAGATGTCTGCCACTTTCTGACAGAACATTTGAAAAATACCAGTGTACCAAATTAAAATGACAGAGCAAAGCAGAGGCAGCTACGACTTACAAAAAGCATATCTATTCTTTCAGCAATGAGGGAAGATCTCTTCCCATCCACAGTATTCCTACAAATGTGTCTATGGTATTTCATACCAATGCATACTATTATCCTACCAGATGTAATAGGGGTTGATGGGACCACTTCAAAATAACTCCAATTCTTCCCTTCAGAATGCTCAGTATGGCAGTGGGCTCATCTACATTGAAAGTGCTCAACCGTGAAGTCCCACAAAGCTTAAATACCTCCCTCCCATCAGGTTTAACATCTTTCTGGGGGGAGAGGGGAAGGGAAGAGAGGCAAGAAGGAACAACCACCACCACTGCTTTCTCTCCAGTTCAACTTGCACCTCTCCAAATAATGTCTAATCAAGATAATTGGTTGGATGAAAGTCAGGAAAAGGACATGCTTTGAAAGGTTCTTCTCAGGATTCAGCAGTTTACAGCACATGTCCTCCTTGCTCATTACTGCTTGACAAAATGGTCATGACAAAAACCTTCTGCCATCTAACTAGCCAGAGACTGCACCTCATCTTATCAAAGATGGACCTAGCCACAGTAAACATACTTTTGTGACCTTCAGAGTTGACTACTGTAACCCTGTACATAGGTCTTTCAATGGACATAGAGTCAGACACTGGAGACTTCGATCATACAAAGTGAAGAAAATAAGATTAACTTTTCTGGGATCTGACCAATATGACCCTTGCCAGAGCATTAGTAATAACTATCCCAAAAATAAAGGTAGGTGAACGGAAGACTATATCAAGTTCCGACTTATGCCCCAACTACCACATGTCTGTATAACTCCTGTAGCAAATACCTACTTAACGAGAGGACTCTAGGAAAGTAAGGTATCACAGATTGCTCTGTCCTCAACCACTACTGACTCCATCAATCCAGGTCATGTGTTTCAGTACAGCCAAATGCATTGTCCTACATCTAGGAACAAAGTAGAGGTCACGCTGACAGGCTGAGGGCTATATCCTGGAAAGCAGAGTGTGAAGAGGACTTTAGGGGTTGTGGTAGGTAACCAACTGAACACAGGCTACCAGTGTGATGCTACAGCTAAAGAGGGCCAATATGAATAGGAGGATTAAGGAGGCAATATCCCCACTGTATGTGGCATTGACGAGACCCCCACCAGGCAGGCGTCAACACTTTGAAAGGACTAAGACAGGAGCCACAAGAATGATTCAATGTCAGAAAAACATGCCTTACAGTGAGGTTGGGAGTGTAATTTATATGGAACAGAAGGTTAAAAGACAAATTGATCACATTCTTAAAGTACATACACAGGGAGAAGATGCAAGAGCAGGGGTAGGCAATCTATGGCACGCGTGCCGAAGGCGGCACGCGAGCGGATTTTCAGTGGCACTCACACTGCCCAGGTCCTGGCCACCGGTTCGGGGGCTCTGCATTTTAATTTTAAATGAAGCCTTTTAAACATTTTAAAAACCTTATTTACTTTACATACAACAATAGTTTAGTTATATGTTATAGTCTTACAGAAAGATCTAAAAACATTAAAATGTATTACTGACACGCGAAACCTTAAATTAGAGTGAATAAATGAAGACTCGGCACCCACCACTTCTGAAAGGTTGCCGAGCCCTGTGCAGGGGCTCTTTAGTCTAGGGTAGCGGTTCTCAAACTGTGGGTCAGGACCCCAAAGTGGGTCATGACCCTGTTTTAATGGGGTTGCCAAGGACTGACATTACTCTTGCTGGGGCCCAGGGCTGGACTCCAGGGGTGGGTGGGTGTGGCGCTGGCCTCAGGTTACACCCCCTGCCTGGGGCTGAAGCGATTAGGCTTTGACCCCCCACCCCAAGAGCAGTAGGGCTCTGGCTTTGGTCCTGGCCCCCTTGAAAGCTTTAGGTTCCAGTTTCCCTTTCAAAAAGTACTATATTTTGTTTGCATTATAGATATTGCTACCTGCACAGTCTAAAATAGATACAGTTACCCACTGTCCATTGTAAGACCATTTTCAACCCAAACAGTTAAATTCTAGTAAAGTTATAAGCAACTGAAATTTGGCCAAGTTAGGAGTTTCTGAAAGTCTCAGCACCTAGTTTGGCAGCTACATTCTCCAAAGATTCTCTCTCTAATGGGCATGCTGCCGGGGTAGAGCGGACTTTCCTGCTATTGCTCCTTCTACCTGGCAAGAGCCACTGTCACAACATGCATTGGGAACTGATCTTCCCATGCACCCCCTGCTGGCACCTAGGGAGAAGAAGGAGGAGGAACAACTTGACTGGAATGCAGAGGGATGAGGAGCTAAGGGGGCAGAGACTAAACACGGACAGGCTGGAGAGGTCGGGACAGAAGGGTCTGAAGCCACCTGAGAATACTCCCTTCAGAACCTGGAATAGAACCCAGGATTTCAGAGTCCACATTCCTTTTATGTCAAATAGCAGCAAAGCATACTGAAAACATATGCATCATCCTGCAATCCAAGTGTTTTTAAACAAATCTCATGACTGTAGGTTTTTAAGCATAGGTTAGACCAGTGGTCCCCAACCTTTTTCGCCTGGTGGGTGCCAGACGACAAGCCACGGAGGACCGTGGCGGCGGGTGAGCATCTGCCGAAATGCCCCCGACAAGCAGCGCCATCCAGAGGATGCTTCTTCTTGGCGGCATTTCGGCAGATGCTTGTCCGCCAGCCAGTACGTGTGCGAAATTAGACACCATGGCGCCCACGGGCACCGCATTGGGGACCCCTGGGTTAGACAAATGTGTCGGGGTGGTCTAGGAAGATCATCTCAACCTGGGGAGGGTGTCCAACTTTTAGGGGTGTGACAAATCTTCTAATAGTTCAGTAATTATAGTAAATCTAGGGGTACAGGGGCAAGCACCAGGATGCAATGTCACTCATTCAAAAACAATTTTAGGGGGTAGGGTGGGAGGAGTCCAGGAAAAACAATGCTAAGGTGGGACCGGATTTAAAAAAGGTTGAGAATCCCTGATATAGGTGTTCTTGGCCCTGACTCAGCACAGGAGGACTGTATTAGATGACTTCTCAAGATCCCTGCCAACCATACATTTCTATGATTTAAAACTTAACACAGGAAATGAGCACATTAACAATGGAGCTAATGTATTAGTTTAGAACTAAAAAAAGCTGCTTAATTCAACGTAAGAAATAAGAGGTCAGTGTGTTTTGGGGGTGTATAGTTAGAGGGATCAAGCGTTTGGGCAGACCTTCCATAGAAGTTGTTTCCTACTTGCTTTGAAAAGCATTTCAATACCTCCATCCAACCCTCATACATACTATGAACAAATAGACGATTCAGGAGTATAGCTCCACCTGCTTCTGCCCAAACATGTTTCACTAAGTGCTTAGGTTTACCTCAAATTTAGAAAGTGAAGGCTAATTTCAGCCATCTGTTTTATTTAAATTAAATTAAGGATTATATGACGCAAGGAAGCAATATGCTCTATTTCTGCTATCAAAACAAAAGGGGGGGGGTAACTGACCCCAACCAAACCGTGCAGGTATATCTCAGCGAGGTGTATGAATTGTTGAAAGAGGGAGGATTTTTTCATAACAAGGCACAGGTTTTTTGTTTTTAAATAGACCGTTATCAAGGCGTGGACTAGGAACATCATTCACCCAGACTAAAATCAGTCTATTTTTAGATTTTTGCTAACATCTCAATGTATTCTCCCTCCCACCAAAACAAACTCTGTTTTGGGTGGATTATGTCCGTTACGGCAGATTTTGTTTGGGGATTTTTTTAAAATACAGAAAAATCCCTGTCCTCAGAACCAATTCTAAAATAAAGGGTTTCCGTATTTATCAAGAGTTCTTAACAGGCTTGTAATATTTAGTCTCCATGGCCTAAAGCAAAGCTAGCTCTGCAACAGTTTACCAAAAGGAATTTATGTTGGAAAATGCTATAGTATTTCACCACCTCTTTAATTTCTTAAATTGTTACATGTCAGAAAGAACTCTGGTCTATTCACACAACCAGTTAATTTGAAAGGTTTGGTAAAGGAGATCTGAAATATTCAGTGTTTGCTTTGCTAAACACTGCAAATCAACAACTTCATTTTCCTGTAATGTTTCCAGGAAAAACGGGATTAAGAAAAGTTAGGCTACATCTTGTCCATTCAAGGTTTGTTTGGTAGCTGCTACTATTGGAAACTAATAGTAAGGAATGCAGAAACTTGGCTCTCACAAGCAAACCCTTGGAAAATATACTTACAACGTAGAAAGATCTGG